TCTCCAGCACAGTATTTCCTGGAATGCCTCGCCCTGTTCTTTAGGAATGGGAGATCCCAGGTAGCAGCCCCAGACTCCTCCAGGGAAGGTACCTGAGTCAAGTTTTCTCTCTTCAAAGAGGACCTCTTCCCCTGGGATTCACCCAAGACTCCTCCAAGGCATCTCCCAGAGCCTTCTGAGATCTTCTTTAACAACCCGAGATGCTGGGTAGCAGCCCCAGACTTCTCCAGGGAAGGTACCCAGGATGTGTTTCCTCTTTTGCTGAAAGATCTCTCTTCCAGGATGCTCCTGGCTCTGTTACAAAGCAATTCCCAGAGTCCTTTAGCCCATTCTTTAGGAATTGGAGATCATAGGTAGCATCCGCACACTCCTCCAGGGCAGGTACTTGGGATGTGCTTCCTTTTGTTGCTCAAGATCTCTCTTCCAGGAAACTACAGGCTGTCCAGCATAGTGTTTCCTGGAATGCCTCACCCTGTTCTTTGGGAATGGCAGATCCCAGGTAGCAGCCCCAGACTCCTCCAGGGAAGGTACCAGAGATGTTTCCTCTTTTTGCTGAAAGATCTCTCCTCCAGGGTGCTCCTGGCTCTTGTGCTTAGGATTTCCTGGAATCATTCAGCATATTCAAGAATATGAGAGCCCGGGTATCAGCCCCACAGTCCTCAAGGGAAAGTACTTGAGATGCGCTTCATCTTTTGGTTGAAGATCTCTCCTCCAGGACGCTCCTGCCTCTCCAGCACAGTATTTCCTGGAATCATTCAGCCTCTTCTTTAGGAATGGGAGATCCCAGGTAGCAGCCCCAGACTCCTCCAGGGAAGGTACCAGAGATCTATTTCCTCTTTTGCTGAAAGATCTCTCCTCCAGGATGCTCCTGGACCTGTTCCATAGCATTTCTCGGAGTCAGTTAGACTATTCCTTCGGAACTGAGATCCCGGATGGCAACCCCAGACTCCTCTGGGGAAGATACCCGATATACTTTTCCTCTTTTGGAGGCAGCTCCCTTATCTGGGATTCGCCCAGGCTCCTCCAAGGCATATTCCAGAGTATACTCGGAGCTTCTTTACCAACCTGAGCTCCCAGGTAGCAGCCCCAGACTTCTCCAGGGAAGGTACCAGAGATCTATTTCCTCTTTTGCTGAAAGATCTCTCCTCCAGGATGCTCCTGGCTCTGTTACAAAGCAATTCCCAGAGTCCTTTAGGCCATTCTTTAGGAATTGGAGATCATAGGTAGCATCCGCACAGTCCTCCAGGGCAGGTACTTGGGATGTGCTTCCTTTTGTCACTCAAGATCTCTCTTCCAGGATACTACAGGCTCTCCAGCACAGTATTTCCTGGAATGCCTCGCCCTGTTCTTTAGGAATGGGAGATCCCAGGTAGCAGCCCCAGACTCCTCCAGGGAAGATACCCGAGATGTGGTTCCTCTTTTCCCTGAAGATCTCTCCTCCAGCATGCTCCTGGCTCTGTTGCAAAACATTTTTCAGAGTCATTTATCCTATTTCTTTGGAATCTGAGCTCCCAGGTAGCAGCCCCAGACTCCTCCAGGGAAGGTACCTGAGTCAAGTTTTCTCTCTTCAAAGAGGACCTCTTCCCCTGGGATTCACCCAAGACTCCTCCAAGGCATCTCCCAGAGCCTTCTGAGATCTTCTTTAACAACCCGAGATGCTGGGTAGCAGCCCCAGACTTCTCCAGGGAAGGTACCCAGGATGTGTTTCCTCTTTTGCTGAAAGATCTCTCTTCCAGGATGCTCCTGGCTCTGTTACAAAGCAATTCCCAGAGTCCTTTAGCCCATTCTTTAGGAACTGGAGATCGTAGGTAGCATCCGCACACTCCTCCAGGCCAGGTACTTGGGATGTGCTTCCTTTTGTCACTCAAGATCTCTCTTCCAGGATACTACAGGCTGTGCAGCATAGTGTTTCCTGGAATGTCTCACCCTGTTCTTTGGGAATGGGAGATCCCAGGTAGCAGCCCCAGACTCCTCCAGGGAAGGTACCAGAGATCTATTTCCTCTTTTGCTGAAAGATCTCTCTTCCAGGATGCTCCTGGCTCTGTTACAAAGCAATTCCCAGAGTCCTTTAGGCCATTCTTTAGGAATTGGAGATCATAGGTAGCATCCGCACAGTCCTCCAGGGCAGGTACTTGGGATGTGCTTCCTTTTGTCACTCAAGATCTCTCTTCCAGGATACTACAGGCTGTCCAGCATAGTGTTTCCTGGAATGCCTCACCCTGTTCTTTGGGAATGGCAGATCCCAGGTAGCAGCCCCAGACTCCTCCAGGGAAGGTACCAGAGATCTATTTCCTCTTTTGCTGAAAGATCTCTCCTCCAGGATGCTCCTGGACCTGTTCCATAGCATTTCTCGGAGTCAGTTAGACTATTCCTTCGGAACTGAGATCCGGGATGGCAACCCCAGACTCCTCCAGGGAAGATACCCGATATACTTTTCCTCTTTTAGAGGATGCTCTCCTCTCTGCTATTCACTCCAGCTTCCTTGCAGTTATGTCCTGCACACCTTAGCTCTCTTCTTTAATGACCTGAGATCCTGGGTCTCAGCTCCAGACTCCTCCAGGGAAGGTACCAGAATGGATTTTCCTCTGTTCAAAGAGAATCTACCCTCTGGGATTCACCCAAGACTCCTCCAAGGCATCTCCCCAGTTATACTGGGATTGTCTTTATGAACATGATATTCTGGGTAGCATTACCAGACACTTTTAAGGAAGATCCCTGAGATATTTTCTTTTTCCTAGGAATCTCTGCCCTGGGGATGCACTCACATTCCTTGCAGGCATCTCCTGGAGCCTGTTTTATGAGAGCAGATATCTCATTTGGTAGCCCCACTGTTCTTTAAGGGAGATACCAAACATATTGCTCCTCTTTTGGACATTACACTGTCCTCTGATGTCCATCCAGTGCTCCCCCCAAGAATACCCTGGTAGTTTTGGGGCTCTCCATTAGAGATCAGGGAGCTGGTGTAGCAGTCCCAGACTACTCCAAGGAGTACAGCCGAGAGGATTTTTTCCCTTGGAGACAGGTATTTTGTCCAGCATGAGTCTGCTGCCTCCTCATATGGGGACCAGAGGAGGATTAGGGACTTCCAAGGAATAAACAAAGATGTTTTTTCTCTTCTGGAGGAAGTTCTCTTCTCTGGATTCGACCTGAGACTCCTCTGAGCTGAGAGGACCATGGCAGAGGCCTTATAGATGTCCATATTGCTGACATCCATAGCTCTTCCCTTGTTCACTGATGAAATCACTCCACCATAAAAGGCCATCAGGTTGGTTAAGGCAGGACTTGCCCTTGGTGAACCCATGCTTTCTGTCTCAAATGATCTCCCTGTCCTTCATGTGCTTTCACCTAGCTTCAAGGAAGAACTCTTCCCTGATGTCCCCAGCACAGAGGTGAGGCTCCCAGGTTGCTGGTTCCCAGGGTCCTGCTTTCAACCCTTTTTAAAAAGGGGTGCAGTGTTTCCCTTTTCCAGTCCCAAGAACTCCACCTGAGTGCCAGCTCCCTCAGGACTCTGGGATGCACCTCCTCACATCCCACACACTTACGTATGTTCAGGTGGTCTCGAATTTGATCTTCTCTTACTGTGGGGGGACTTTGCTCCCTCAGTCCACTGCAGTGGATGATGTGGGATGTGGAGGAACGAGGCCATGAGGTGAAGGGATTGCTGAGGTGTGCTGCAACACCATGATAGGGGTGATGGGCTGCAGTTGGGGTTAACAGCCTTAATCCTGATGCCCTTAATGCTGCCTCAGTAGGGTGGAGGAGAGAGTGATGTTTCAGGGCTCTGTTCCACCCTTGTAATGCCCACAACCCTTGAGCAGCCTGACTCACCAAAGTGAGCAAGTGGTTGCCCCTCCCATCCATGACAACAGCAACAGGTAACTTGACTCATCTCCCCTCCCCTTCTCTCCAAAGTATGAATTTGGCATTCCAGCTCCTCCATGGCAGAGGATGAGAATATAACCCCACCTGCAGAAGAGGTGATGGCCTTGCTCCTCTCTGCTCTGCAGAGCAGGGACACCTCTTTGGCAAGATTTGCATCTCCAGCTATGCTGGGTAATACCTGGGTGGACCTAAACTGAATGAATTAGCAATTGCTTTTTTCTTTCTTTTTTTTCCTCTATATGAGCTGAGTTAACCCCTGGGTTTTGGTGCTAGTGCAGGAAGTGAACTTACCAATGGCAATTCCAAATCTGCATTTCTGTGCTTCAATAAACCTCACTATTTGTGAATCCACAATGGTGGCAGTTCTGATTGAGCTCGACCAGATGGTGATAATAAGAAATGAATGCCAGGTTCCTGCAGGCACCTGAGCTCTGAGGACTGGCTGGAACACAAGGGGCAGTGTTTTCTGTCCAATCCCTGCACTCTTACACCATAGGAGGAGAAGTCAGTGAAGACCAAAACAAAAAAGCTGTTGAGTACCTCAGCCTTCTCCTCACCCATTGTTACCCATTTGCCAGTCATGTTCACTGCGGGGGTTACATTTGCTTTGACCTTCCTGTTCTGACTGACACACCTGTAGGAGCCCTTCTTGACACAGCCCTGCTGGTCTCATGCCTTCGTCTCCTGATTTCTTACACCTGGAGATCAAGAGCTCTTGTGCTGTGGAAAGCATCTGTAAAACTCTGCCAGCTCTACCCTGCTCCCTTGCCCCTGAGGGCAGTTTTCCAGGGGCTCCTGTTGGCGAACTCCTTGCACAGAGGCAAGTTTCCTTTCCTAAAATGAAGCATCTGCTCTCCTCTTTGCCTCACCGCTATCCCTCAGAACTCCACCAGCCATGATCACTGCAGCCCAGACTGGCTCCAGTTGTGACGTCACTGATGGTGTTTGTGACCATCAGGTCCAGTAATGCACCCCCTCTGGGAGGGCTGTTTGTTACCTGGCTTCAGCAGTTCTCCTCGCCACTCTGCAGGAGTCCCCTGGGTTGTCTATAGCTCACCGTGCTACTTTCCCTACCGACGTCAAGAGGGCTGTCGAGATGGTTCCCAGCAGGACGAGAGCCTGTAACTGGAGTAAGAAGGCTTCATCAAGAGGCTTCCCTTGATCCAGTGGCCTGCAGTAAACACCAACCACAAGGTTCCCTTTGTTGCTTCAGTCTGTAGTTCTCACCCATGAGCTTTCAGCCTGCTCATGGCCACTCTGAAGAGACAGCTTTTCATAACCTACCCATTCTCTGACATTCCCCCCTCTTTCCTCCCTGTTCCTCTGAACAGCCCACAGCCACTGATAGCTGCCTTCCACTCATGGGGTCCATCCCACCAAGTTTAAGTAATGGCAACAACATCACAGCTTTCTAGCAACATGCATAGTTGGCTTTCAGTTCCTCCTGGTGTTGCCCATGCTGTGTGCATGGATGCAGAGGTACCTCAGCTGTGCTGTCAGCCATGTCCCTTTCTTAGAGCAACACACCTTAAATCCCTTCAGTTATCAAAAGCAGCATGGCCAGCAGGGGGAGGGAGATGATTCTGCCCCTCTGCTCTGGTGGAACCCTACCAGGAGTGCTACGTCCAGCTCTGGAGTCCCCAGCACAAGACAACAGGAACCTGTTGGTGCAGGTCAAGAAGGGGAACACAGAAATGATGGAGTACCTGTGCTGTGAGGAAAGGCTGAGCTGGGGCTGTTCAGCCTGGAGAAGGCTCCAGGGAGCCCTTATTGTGGTCCTTCAATACTTTAAGGGGGCCTGTAAGAAAGATGGGGAAAAAACCTTTTAGCAGGGAGTGTTGTGACAGAACAAGGGGTGATGGTTTGAACTAAAGGATCTAGTTTGGACGTAAGGAAGAAATGTGTTTACCCTGAGGGTGGTGAGGCACTGGCACAGGCTGCCCAGAGAGGGGGTGGACGCACCATCCCTGGCAACATTCCAGGCCAGGCTGGACAGGGGCTCTGGGAACCTGCTCCAGATGAAGATGTCCCTGCTCATTGCTGGGGTTGGACTGCATGAGCTTTGAATGTCACTTCCAACCCGAACCCTTGGACGATGTCACTGTTTTTCCCTGTTGGTTCTCGTTACCTGTGGAGCCCCTGGCTCAGCTCTGTCAGACCTCCTCTGTGCTGGAGCACACCCAGCCTCAGGTGGAGAGGCAGCCGGTCCGGCGGGTGCGGATCTCTGCCGGGTGGATGCCGCCGCTCAGCTCCTCTGGAGCGCGATGGCCACTGAGCGAGCTCGCCTCCGGAGCCCTTCCGCACTGCTGCCCCTCTGGCAGCCGGGGCTGCCGCTGCTCCGTCTCCGAGCCGGCGCCCTCGGCACTGGACCAACCGCTCCGTTAGAGCGCCTTTAAACCTTCCGCCGTTGCCCTGGCAACGCGCACGCCTCGCTGCCAGCTGCCTGAGCGGGGCAGGGAGGGGCTTGTTTCTCTTCGCTGCCCTGGCAACGGCCGTCTGTCAGGTGGGGGTTACGTGCTGAGACAAGGGGGAGGGCACAAATTACAAGATGGGATGTAGAAATCCTTAGAAGTATCTTTAAGTAATGTTAAGTTTGACGGCTTTGTAACAGTAGCAATGGAAAGTTACTGAGGTGCAGGGTACATAGAGAAAAATATATAGAGAGAGTGCAGCTAGAGAACGTAGTGAGAATTCTCACAAGATAAATCGTTATAGTTGACATAGCTTTAAGAAAAAACAGCCTAGAAAAACAGGACACAGGGATAAGGGGTATCTGGGAACTGCAGGTGTCCAGGATGGGCTACAGTTAAACAGATAAGTAGGAGGATAGGAGGATTATTATGTCTCTGGTGCTAACGAACCAATTAAACTGGTATGAGCATCTACTGCGCGTGCTTCAGAGGCTGCCAGAAGTGATGAAGATCGTTGGAAGAAGTAACCGACCCTCAGAGACCAGCACCACAATTCTGTACACATGAGGGGAACTCTCTGGAAAGTGATGTAATCCATACGTAGCCTCATGAATATGTATGTATGCCCAGGGGCTATATAAGGATGGCTTGTATAGCAATACGGGGACACACGTTAGGAGGAGTTATCCCAGTGTCTCCCAGCGCCGCAATAAAGAATACCTGCTTGTCAGCTTGAAAGCTTTGTTGGCAAGTTTGCTCCTGGAGTTTTCTCCGAACCAGTGCAGGCCACGGTCGCTGTGCAGCTGCAGCCGTGCTGCTTGAAACCGGGCTGTGATGAGAGTGGGCTGAGGGACTCGGGGGTGCAGAGACTTACCATGGACCGGCAGTGTACACATGCAGCCCACAAAGCCAACCCTATGCTGGGCTGCAGCAAAAGAGGTGTGAGCAGCAGCTTGAAGGAGGCAGTTCTTCCCCTCTGCTCCAGTGGTAGTGTTTGGCTTTGGGGGTCCCCAGTGTAAGAAGGATGTGGGCCTGTTGGAGTGAGCCTAGAGAAGGGCCACGGAGATGCTTCGAGGGCTGGAGCAGCTCTGCTCTGGAGGAGGCTCTCGGGAGAAGAGCTGCAAGTCAAGCTGAGGGGGAGCCACAGAGCTGTGTAGGTAGACAGCCCACAGACCCCCGACTCTGCTGCTGACAAGGGAAACATGGAAGCAAAGGGACTTCCTTCAGTTTTCTCCTCTCCACTGAACAATGTATTTCTTATTCTCCATTTTCCTCGGGCATTTCTGTTTGCATTTTTAGGGCTTTCCATCCCTTATTACAGTTCCCTCCTCAGGTTCATGTGCAGAAGAGGTTTAACCATCCTCTCAGACAGACCCACTACACTGTCCTGCATCTGAACAGGTCACCTGTGGTCAGCCTCTGCCTGGGGCAAGAGATGCCTGCTCCTGGCTGGAGTTCTCCCAGTCCTCTTGCTGGCAAGAGCAAGCTGAGAGCACCTACCCTGTGCAGTGCCTGGCCTTCTCCTGCAAGGAGAAAGTCTGTCTGCCTGGACATGCTCCTTCTGAGGGTGTTGTCAGGTACTACAGAGAGTACTGGCAAAGTAACAGCTACTTGGTGTTAGGTGTGAGCCCAGCACTGTGCACGTAATGTGCTTATGGTGCCTTAGCTCAGGAGACGGCTGAAGAGTGATGTTTGTTGTAAATGCACTGGTGTGATGGCAAAAACCTGCCTGAGCATCTCAATTGAAATCTCAACTCCCAGCCTCACCCCACTACTTATTGAAGGTGTAAATAATTACACGACTTGTAGTGTGGTGGTAAGAACATAATTCAAAATATTGCCACCAATTTTCATTTATTTAATGGTGTGAAGCATAGTACAAGAGTCCATCTGATACCAGAAACCTCTGCTTCTTCTGGGAGGGAAAAGGCATTTTCTGCCTGCGTGAGACTGATTAAAATATCACACAGTCCCATGGTGATGCTAGTTGATTTTTATTAGAATCTCACAGGATTTTTAATTGCAAAATTCCCAATTTATGACACTCAAGGATCAGAATCTTAAAGCATGTTGCTCTTTTCCTAAAACAGTCCAGGCTGTGAAGAAAAAGACACTTTAACCCAACATCTCCAGTATGTCAACTTGAACATTAAAAAAGGTAGAACTTCATTTAAAGCATTTCAAAGCTGAGACAAGTAATGTGAAAAGCTGAACAACACAGGAAACAATCCCACCCCACAGTCACGCTGCAGGTTTACTTTTCCACAACTTGGTGCTTCCAGGTCAGTTCTTTCCACCAAAAAGAAGCTGTAGTGGTGTCAAGATCATGCTGGGGAAATGACAAAGAGAACACATTCAGAGTAAGTATTTTAAGTATAACGACGTCCACACAAAAGACACAACCCTAGCTCAAAATAGTACAGAGGAAACTTGAAAGAATAGAGGAAACAAAAACTAACTTGTGCCGTACCAGTGGAGTCTCAGCAGTTAATGGCACACATTTCAAGTCACAAGAGTTTTCATTTCTCCCACAACTAATTCAGCTCCCAAACAAACAGTTCCTGCCACTATTCAACTTGTGCCATGCAGTGAACAGACCGCTCTTGGGGTATACAACTTCAACAGCTTTAGAGCAACCTTCAGTCAGCAATGCCCAGCAACTGTCTGCATGGTTACTTTAATTTTGGTTTAAAATGGTGTTTTTTGGAGTCAAAGTTACATAGGCCACAGTTGCTAAGTGGCCAAATAAAGGTTGTACTTACCTTAACGGGGCTGAGGGTCTACCCTGGGAAGGCCCTGTGAGAAGGGGGAGTGTTTAAGTCCTTTAGAAATGGGGCTGGAGATGGCACTCCTCATCTGCTAACAGCCACACTGTATGGGGGCTGTGGCTGTGGGCAGTAATACTCATGTGAGGGTTTTCTTTTTCCCCAAAGACTCAGAAGAGTCAGAAAGATCAAAAAAGTGCCCCAAAAGCTCAGAAGAAGAATATTTACTGGGGATGTTGCACCTTACCACAAGACAAAAGGACACCCCTGCACGTTCCTTTGCCTTGGGAGACTCTGGTATAACCACAGGAAAGAGGGATGGACCCATTCTTCAAGATAAGGTGGAATCATCTGAACTGCCAGAGTCAGGCATACTCTCGGACACAGTCTCGGGCACAGCTGGCCTGCATCTGGTCATAGCCACAGGACATACCTTTTCCAGAACCCTGAGAGACCTCTTCCTTCCAACTCCATGTCTCCTTTGTTTACCATGCAGTCCATTTGCTGCAGTAGCTGCCCTGCACCCTCAGCCTGACCGGTTGCTCTTCTTTGTTCAGGGTGAGGCACAACAGGTCCCCCTGTAAGAAACAGCAGCAAGAACAAAACCACAAGCTCGCTCCCTGCACACCCCCTGCACACCCAACAGCAGATGCTGAGGCTGAAAGGTGTCTCCAGACTGACCAGCCTAATGCCTGGCAGGTTTCAAAGCAATCCCAATGCAGGCTGGCTTGGAAATGAGCTCCCATTTCACAGCCCAGCTCTGAAAGCTGTGCACCCCAGCTGTATGGGTGGGAATTCATGATGGGGGAAGACAACCTCAGTCAAAATCATGGGTGACCTACAGCTTTATGGTCATTCTAATTCCCAGTCTCACCTGCTGGAAAAGACCAAACACAATTCTTAAGGGAAAACTAGTAATGATGTAATCCTTGCAGCTTTTGCTTTGATATGACCAATGTGAATGAAACAATCTGGGAATTCCTTACTTACAGAAATCCACTTGGTTGTAGTCCATGGTAAGAGATGCTGGACTAAACTCACGCTCATTTTCTCTTGAGGAATTCTGAAAGGAAGGAACCCAGGAACTGTTACACAATGTAAAATTTCACTGTACAGGAGATTTTTATTTGTTTCTTGCTTTAAGAACTAAATGGCAAGGTCTATACTCTTGTTTCATGATGTTTTTTCCTGCTACTATGAGGGCTTTCTTCACTAATACCTTTCTGCCCTTCTCAGGACATTCAGGGATCTAAGATAAGCTGTAATTCATTGAGTAGACTTCAGTACAGCAGACAGGAAAGAGAAACAACAGCTATTGCATAGACAAAGATCTGAAAACACATGAACAGAGGTGCTGTGGGAAGTAACAGCCACTGGACAATACAGGCTCCCAGACATTAGCCCTACTAACACACAGCCATAGGAAACAGAGAAACAGGGAAGGGACAAAAGTGAAATGCCAGAAGCAAGAGGTGAGCCAGGAATACTCATTAGGAAAGCTATCAGCAATACAAAGGACCACAAACAACACCACCAGCATGGAAGCTTCTTTAAGACAGGGAGAAATAACTGTCATAGAGAGAAGATAAAAGAATAGATCCCCTCCTCGATGGTGTTTCTCTTGCACTACTATGATCTTTCCAGTTAAGTCTCAGAGCATGAACTAAGTTAGGAAAGTTATCTGCAGTGACAGGCTGCGCATCTCTTGGCTCTCTCTTTCATTCTTTCTTTGGCTTCCTGTGGGCACTTGGTAAGTGGAAAGACACCCAGGCTCAACTCCAGCCATCCCAACCAGACAGCCTACTGTCAAAATCATAGCCCTAGAAGGCTGAGAAGATGGATGAGAACTGAAAATGCAATCTATTGAACACCCATGTGGCTGCAGCACTTCCATTTCCTGAACCAGTGCTGTAAAGTCAATCCTACATGTACTGAGTAGACAGATTTCCTTCTTGTTTTATAGGACCCTTCTCAAAGTTGCACTCTAAAACACCAAGTGGATTTTGATCCAAAATCATACACT